AAGATTAGATCTCATCAAATATCTCTTTGAGAAACCAGCACTTACGGGTAAGCTAGCTCGTTGATTGCTTCTTCTCTCCGAATTTGACCTCAAGTATGTCACGCGCACATCCGTTAAAGGGAGGGCCGTAGCGGAATTCCTGGCAGAACACCCGATAAAAGGAGATGATGAAGCAGTGGAGTATTTATTCCCAGATGAAAACATCCTACAGATAGAAGAGGAAACATAGATGATGTACTTTGACGAAGCATCAAATCAATATGGTTATGGGATAGGTGTATTGCTCATAGCACCTGATGATTTACATATACCTCTAGCTTTTAAACTATGGTTTAAAGTATCTAACAATAAAGTAGAATATGAGGCATGTATTGCTGGCTTGGAAGCTACCCTAGAACTAGGGGCAATAAGGTTGGACGTCATTGGGGATTTGAATTTGGTTGTCTCTCAGGCCAACGAAGATTGGTAAGTTAAAGAAGAGAAAATAAAGGTTTACCATCAGGCCGTGGATACGCTAATTCCGAGGTTTGAAAAATTAATGTTCACCCATCTGCTAAGAGAGAACAATCGATTTGCTGATGCTTTAGCAACTCTATCTTCCATGGTGTACATCCCGCTTAGAGTAAAGATGCGTCCGATTATTATTGAACAGAAGTATACGCCGGCTTATGAGACCATCGCTGCAATAAGTGAGGTTAAAATACGGACCCCTGGTATTACGACATTTGGAATTTCCTGGAAAAAGAGGCGTATCCACCAGGGGCAAATGCCAAGGACAAAAGGGAAATACGGTGGCTAGCCATCCAATTTATCATCTGCGAAAACAAGTTGTACAAAAGAGGCCATCTGGAAATGCATAAGCTGTATGTTGAGGAAGAAGAATCAAGGCGCCTTATGGAAGCTATTCATATGGGAGAGTGCGAAGCTCACATGAACGGTGTAATGCTACCGCAGAAAATCCTTAGACAAGGCTACTACTGGTCAACCATGGAAGATGACTATATTGGCTTTGTACGTCGATGCCACAAATGTCAGATCCATGCTAATCGCATGAACATTCTGCCATCAAAGCTCTACAATATGACTTCGCCATGGCCTTTCTCAGTTTAGGGAATCGACGTTATCGGCGTAGTCATGCTAAAGAGGTCAAACAGGCACGAGTTCATTTTAGTAGCAATCGACTACGTCACAAAGTGAGTGGAGGCCCAATCTTATTACGTGCTAAAAGCGTCACATGTAGCCAAGTTCATCAAAAACAACATCATCTGTAGGCATGAGGTGCCCAATGAGATCATCTCAGATAACGGCTTGCATTTCAAGAAAAAGGTGATAGACCTGCTAGAGAAATATAACGTGGCTTTTCGTAAGTCATCAACATATAGATCGCAGACCAATGGAGCCATTGAGGCTGCAAATAAAAATATCAAGAGAATCCTGCAGAAGATAGTGGAAACCTACAGAGACTGGCCGGAGAAATTGCCATTTGCACTCTGGGGCTACAGGACGTCAATCCGAACATCTACAGGGGCAACCCCCTATTCTCTAATTTATGGGATGGAAGTTATTCTGCTGATTGAGATTGAAGTACCGTCACTAAGAATTATGGCCGAATGTCAGATAGTAGAGACAAATTGGCAATAGAGCAGATTTGAAGAATTGATGTTGTTCGACGAAAGGAGGTTGAAGGCATTGTATCATATCCAAGGCTACCAACGTAGAATTGCTAGGGCTTTTAATAAGAAAGTCAAGTCCAGAAATCTCAATGAAGGAGACATGGTGCTCAAAGATAACCGAGCCCCCATCCATGACCCCAGGGGCAAATTTAGACCCAGTTGGACTGGACCTTATATCATCAAGTCAATCTGGTCTAGAGGAGCAATTATTCTTATGGATTTGGATGGCCTGGAGTTTTCAGAACTGATCAACATGGACACGTTGAAGAAATATTATCCCTGAAAGGCTCGCTAGGCCAAAAACCCGGAAGGGCTACCTAGGCAAAAGTTAGAGCATGAAAAATTAGATAAAGAAAAATCGAGCTCGCAAGGCCGAAAACCAGAAAGGGCAACCTTGGCAAAAATTAGAGCGCAAAAGGAGAGAATAAATACTCGAGTGAACCCTCACAGAACTACGTAAGGCCCGATTCTCATCTTTGGAATATGTAGGCAACTTCTTCCCGAAGTTCTGCCATAACCATTTTCAATTCAACTGTCCTGTTCATTTAGTTTAATCAATCCATCATTCTCTATCATTTGTCGACTTGGTTGTGTTGCATCCATTCGGGCAGAAAGGTCAGTCATAGGATGAAGCAGTAATGATCAATGCAATTTGAGGGGCAGTTATGATTTTTCGAGTTGGGGTTGTACAATTTAGGATTGATTCAGTGTGTATCCAGTGGTGACCATTTTCGAAAAAGAAAACTTTTCAATACTCACTTTAATTTTATTGATTTTGACACAGGTACATTCTCCAAAACAAAGTTGTTTTATAATAATAATAACAAATAAATAAATAAAAAAGACAAAGCAATAAACTAGGGGCATAGATGAGTCAAGTATCAATTTTTTGTCTCTTTCTCTTACCTGTGGAAGTCTCTGTAACCGAAGTCGGCCTAACTTGTTCCTCGCCCTCGAGCCAAATCAAGTACTCGCTAAGAAGGATGCAACTAAAATTCAGGGCCGGAGTCAGAGATTCTCTTGTGCACCAAGCAGTGAGGTATCGAGGCAAGTACGAACTACAAATAGGAAATGAAGCTGGGTACTTTATCCCTTTATCTGGACAAGTCTGATCATGCCCAAACTGGCGTCTGAACCTGAGTGGAAAATAGAAACACAGTGTGTAAGGCCAATCAATTGTATACCTGGTTGCCGGAACATGTTGTAACTCATCTTAGCCAAGTTAAGCCAGGGGCCACGCCAAGCAATGTCAGCTGCAGACCTACTGTGCATCCAGTTACACCACAATCCCTTTAAGGAGAACTCCACTAGCTGTGAGCGATGAGAATAAGCTCTGGCCGAGTACTTAGGGCAGGGGTCTATTACTTTCATCTTATCCATTAGCCATACCTGGGGAGGGAAGGAAAATGAGAGAGAACCAAAAGAATAGAGAGATGTATGTTGAGGGAAAAGTAAGAAAAGGATTTCGAGAGAAAAATAGAAATCGTGTGCCAAGTGATGTGAGGAACATAAATAAGAAGGGTAGGGAATAATACCTGGAGAAATAATGCACTCCTCACAAAATGAGTAGTCTCTCGTTGATGAAAAGCATCTAAGCCTGTCAAAGTCTCGGCCAACACTAAGCCCATACAACTCTTACCCTCCTTAAGAAATTGGGCTACTTCGATCAGTTTAATACTAGCTCTACCATGACTAGGTGCAAGAAGGAAGTGTGCAAGTAAGCATAAGCAAAGGGCATGCTGATGATAACTCTGCCAAATGAGGTTTTCTTTATCACCGGTAGGGAAAAATCGACTAATCAAATCTAGAATGCCTAATTCTCCATTGTGAGCCAAGGATCGAGCCTCATGCAAAGTAAGCCCACACATCCGTCCTAAAGCTTGAGCATGGCAAAAACGGGGTTGAAGCATGATTTCCTTATCACGTTGAGATTCCATCAATGCTTGAAATTTTTTAAGTGTCGAACACATCTCTTGTGAACCAAAACGGAATACATGCGTAATTGGATTCCAGCACCGAGCAACGGCATGGAGAAATGGAAAACAAAGTGAAGTGTGGCTCAATGGAAAAAGAGCATTTAGGCCGAAACTGCAAAAGTTCACATTTTCTGAGCTATACAAAGTGATTATCCAGTCTTGGAGCCTATGGATGGGCAACATCTCCATTTTGAGAGCAAAATGTAAAAAACTTGCTCTTCTGCCAGAAACGACGGTATGGGAGCACCATTTATAGAATTTCGGATGGAGTAGTGGGTGACAGCTAGGCACCTACCAAACCTCTCATCATGGTCCGACCGTACCTTAGTGGAGTCTGGCCGTGCCCATTGTGGTCCGACTGTACCTCAGTGGTGGGCCAGACAGTGCACTAGCAGAAAAAGCTGCTCTTTGTCCTCTTATGTTGTGGATGTATTTTGAGTCTTGTTTTGCTCAGACCAAGTCTGTTGCAATGGTTTTGAGTTATTTCTGTTATGTTTTCTTGTTATCGAGTGGTATTGTACATTTTGTCCATTTGAAAATTGTTATTCGACTCATGAATCAAGCACAAGTACCGGGAAGATCATCATGCAAATTACTGTCCATTTGTCATATGCAAACACAATATAGGAAATTCGGAAGAAGGGATCATCCCAAAAAAAAAAAAAAAACCTCTTATTATAAATTAGCGGGTCCAACACCGATCATTATTTTACAAAATAAAACATAACATAAAAGAAAGGTTTTTCAAAAAATAAAGGGTCTACCTGAAGCTAGTGTTTAAAACTACAAAGCAAAAAAAGAAAAGAAAAAAGGGGGTCATCATCGTCATCAAAAGTCTGTCCTAGCTCTCCTCCTCCTTGGCTTCACAGGAGGTGCATCGTTGTCATCGCTAGCACTCCCAGACTGTATGTCAAACTCCTCTCCCTCCTCCTCAGGGGTCGGGAAGCCCTCAAAGGACTCCTCAGAAGGTGAGCACTGCCTCACTCGGCCTCTTCCTCGATTAGTTCCTCCTCTGACCCTCACTGGTCCTGTAAGTGCCACTGGTGCTGGTCCAAGCTGAAAAGAAGCAATGAAATAAGAGTACAGATAGTTATAAAATAACAAACAGAGTTGGAGTGAAATGACTGTAAACTAGGGGCAAAGCTTACCTTAATCCCATGAGCAACTAGAGTGGTCTGACTCCGTCGCACCATGAGGAGTAGTCGGTCGACTGTTCGAGCAAGGTCATCTGCAAATGCCTGGGGTACCTTCAAAAGAAAGAGCAGAGTTTGAAAAATATAGCCATAAATAGAAGTAATAAAAATAATAACGTGCAGTGAGTGAAAATAGTAAAGAAATGTGTACTTGGTCGATGCCTAGAGCAAAAACTATCCGGCGATCCCTCTCCTTGATCTCAACGATCGGAATCTGCTTGAGCACCCCATTTGGGTGCATGTATGTGATCTCCGTGGGAATCACAGGGAACCCAGGAATAGGAGCAACGACAGGGGCGCCTCTAGCAGGGGCATCAGCGGCAGTAGCGGCAACCTCCGGAAGGGCCACGCCCGGGGTGAGGGGTGCCATCACCCGAGTATACAAGAAGGTAGTGAAGTCACCGGCCATATGATGTCAATCATCGTCCTCTCCCTCCATCAAGAGGTCGATCGTACGTCCGTCCTGTATCTCATCAACTGACCTCATGCCTGGAGGAGGAGGATGCAGAACGTCTGGATGGGTAACGCCTTGGGTTTGGCAGATGAACCTCTCTTCCAGATAATAGGCTCGACCAAAAGGGCCCTCGAACAAAATCCACATGGCAGAGGCATACCAGGCAGTAGCATAAGTTGCTCTGGACGCTGCGGAGATACTCGCCCAAGGATGCCAATCAACCTGTGAATTCGTACAATGTTAGATGTCAGTGCAGTGTTAGTTATCAGTGCAACGACAGTGCAGTGTCAGATATCACTCAGTGTCAAAAACCACTGCAGTGTCAGAAAATCAGTGTGTAATAAGCAAAACAATGCAGTGGTCGATGTCAATAGTATGAGGATGCTAGTACAATATGGGAACAGTGATATGTAATGCAAAGAATGATATTGGGTTACCTGATCCGCAGTGATCGTATCAAAGAAGCGGCGGAAGTATAGGAAGGTCCAATCTACTAGGCTGCGGCATCTGAACCGTGAGTTGTAGTACCGAGAGCGGGGTACTGACAACTCAATCAGCCTCACTGGGACTGGAGCTAGAGTGGTGAAATACGTGTAAACCCAGAGCTGTAAACAGATGAGCATGAATCAAGCAGATGAGCAAATATGAAACGTAGAGTAAAGATGAATAGGAAATGCAAAGCACAGAATGCAAAGTTAAATAGAAAAGTAAAATGGTGAGATTCGTACCTCCCAAACTCTCCAGTAGCCACCGAGTAAATCCACCTTATGGAGGGACACAGAGCTCATGTAGCAGTATAAGGTGGCCAAGCTGGCGCCACTCCAGTCATACTCTGCCACCTACTGTAGATGCACCAGTGCTCTAAGAAGATACATCCCCACGGTATTCTCTGTGTTCACAAATAAGGTAGTACCGAAAAGATACATAAGGAAGCCACGAGCGTACTGGGCAATCTCATCTGCAGTAGCTGGCTGACGGTTGATGAAGTGATCGTAGAGCCAGCTGTAGCGCACCATCCCCTAACTGCTGATGTTCGGGATCGCTCCAAGAAGCTGGAGCTATGCAGCTCTCTATTGCACCATATATGGGTCAAATGGAATAGGGCCACCAACCCCGACTCGCAGGCCGGTCAGCATGGAAAAGTCATACGGTGTCAACGTCATCTCCCCAGTCGAAGAGAAGTGGAACGAGTATATGGTGTCCCACCACCTCTCTGCTAAAGTTTCATATAACACTGACTCAGCCTGCATCTGGATGAGCCTGGAGCAGAAGGGCCCAAAGCTGACAGCATCTACTACTGCGCGAACCTCCGCGAGAAGTCGCTCATACAAGTGTCGAGGGCCCGATATGGTCCCTTAGCTGATAATCCTCCTAGCTATAACCTATAAATAGGGAATGCATCAATATATGTACAACAGAGACAAATGCTTTGTTCATAAGTTTCAACATATGTACATAATAAAGGAAAGTTGCTTACCATAGAGCCCTCGGTGGATAAGTTCTCCGTGGGCTCGCGCAGAAGTGTGTCCTCCTCCAACCCAGGGATGAAGCCCATAAATCGTAAAATCCCACTTGGCGAGAGAATATGAGTGCGTGGCTGGTAAGTGGCCGCATCAAATGGCTTATCCGCGAGGGGAAGCAAAGCGGGGGCATCCTCGGCCTCCATATCTGCACCATGGACGGCACAAATATCAATGACCGGGTCCGAAAAGGGAACCTCGTCATTAGCCATGAGGGAAAGTAGAGAAGAATGAAGAAAAAAGTGGAGAACTAAGTGAAAATGGGTAAAAATCCCAAAATCTCAAACCCTAGGAGGGAGAAACTGAAGAGAGGATAAAAAAATCAAAGGGGGAAAAAGGAAAATGTGGGTAAAGTGAGAAAAACAAAGACAAAACCCAAACTTGCGCTAAATCAATTTTTGTTCAGTTCAAAATGTAGAGAAAAACAAGGGTTTCAAAGAAAAATAGCATGGATCGTTGGGTAAAAGCAAGGGAAGAGAAATCTAGAGAGAGAGGAATGCTAGAGAGAGAGACGGGAGAATTGTATACATATATGTATGTGTATTGTATATTTATGTATCATATACATATTTGTTTGAATTTTTTATACAAGAGTGGCTTTGGCTCAGTGGTTGAAGGCTGAAAGGCTGAGTCCGAGGTCGGGGGTTCGAACCCCACAACAATTGTTTCTTTTTGTTTTGTTTTGGTTTTGTATATATATATGTCTTGTATAAGTATATATATATTGGTTTGTATATTTTGTCTCAAGAGTGGCATAGCTCAGTAGTTGAGGGAGCAAGAGACTAAGCCTGAGGTTAGGGGTTTGAAACCCCGTATCCCCACATCCATGCATTTTGTTCCTTTCTTTTTTTCGTGTTTTGCGTACGTATATATCTCCCGTATATATCAGTGTATATACCCATATATATATATTTTAAAAAAAAGAGAGCAGGTGCGCCTGGTGTTCACACCATCTTTCCTACTTTCATTCTGTGCATCTATTGCACACTGATTTCACTTCAAGTGTCTACCGCACAATCTCAATCCATCACGATGCACTGCGCATCGTGCTATTTTGCGCATCGCACTATCTTATGCACTTCACTGGTCTAGGAGACCTTAAAACCTCTGAATGTGCAATTCCTTTGGTGTTTGTCGTGTCCGAACGACTTCACGAGTCTAGGAGACCTTAAAACCTCTGAAGGTGCAATTCCTTTGGTGTTTGTCGTGCCCGAACGACTTCACGGGTCTAGAGACCTTAAATCCTCTAGAGGTGCAATTCTTTTGGTGTTTGTTGTGCCTGAACGACTTCAGACGATCTGGTATATCTGCCTGACCGTGTTTGTAATGAGTTCCTAGGAGACCAATTGAGACGGTAGAAACTAGAGTTCGAATGGTGATGCCTAGAACGCAAAGGTTTGGAATTTCCGAGACTAAAGTCTGGTTTAAATACCCAAGGGCATATCCTCAACTTGAAATCTATATGGCAGCCCCATAGGTTAAGGTAGCTTGTATGCGCCTCAATTTTGGATACTGAACCAACCTAGTCTGTCACCCTGTTGGAAAATAGGGAAAATTGTAAACATATGTTACTATTTTAAAAAAACAAAATAATAATAATAAAAAAAATCAATCAAATCAAAAAACAAAAACAAAGAAATCATTCTACCATACCTTCTTCCATTCGTGAAAAGACGCATTTGGACTTTATTTTCCCCCTCTTGCAAAAAGATGCATTAGGACTTCATTATCCCCCTCTTGCAAAAAGACGCATTAGGACTTCATTATCCCCCTCTTGCAAAAAGATGCGTTTGGACTTCATTATCCCCCTCTCGTGAAAAGATGCATTTGGACTTCATTATCCCCCTCTCGCGAAAGGACACATTAGGACTTCATTATCATTTTCCCGCGAAAAGACGTGTTTGGACTTCATTATCCCCCTCTCGCGAAAAGATGCGTTAGGACTTCATTATCCCCCCCTCACAAAAAGACGCATTTGGACTTCATTATCCCCCTCTCACAAAAAGACGCATTAGGACTTCATTATCCCCCTCTCGCAAAAAGACGCATTTGGACTTCAATATCCCTCTCCCGCGAAAAGACGCGTTTGGACTTCACTATTCCTCCCCTCGCGAATGGAGCGATTGGATTTCACTATTCCTTGTGTAAAACACGGTTTGATTTGTTTTGCTCTGATTTATGCTTTCGTTCAACGTCACATCATTGTCTTGATTGCATTTCATTGCATGATCATAAGTTATGTTTTACATATCATGTTGCATCTTGCCCCTGAACTACGCAGGTTTGATTCCTTGCAAAGGGATACGTAGGTAACCCTCGGGTTCAACCAATTGTGTGCGCATCTGTTTGTTTTTTCCAAAGTCTTACGATCTTGTCAAATGGGTCGTCTTCGGGCTTTGACAGTCACTCATGTCGTAAAATGACTTCGAGCTCTGTCAAAGAGGGCCAACTGTTCAAAGAGGGCCAACTGTAGACACCCCAATTTTGACCACTCATAAGACTTAGGCGCTTGATTCCGAGAACTCGATGATGACGATTACATTGAGTCAGTGGTTTAAATTCTCAATTAAAGAATCTGAGTTCGAGCTCTAAACAATTCCAACCTACCATACCCACCGTATTTCTACCCCAGAACTTCAGTATCGCACCTTGTATCAACTTGTGTTGAACCTGAAAGTAAGAGATAATGGAAATATATTTAAGTCTGGCCAGACCAAAGTGATATCCGGTCGGAGATACCAACATCCGGCCGGACATCTTGACTTTTCACATAGATTCAGTAGTGTTCTACTAGCTACCCAATTCTACAGATATTTTGATCAAACCCGCTCGGGGCCTGTAAATAGCAGGGTTTAGACTGCTGTAGGGGGTTGAAAAACACATAGAATTTGGTTAGAGAGATTAGATCAATATCAAGTGAGTTAGAAATATCAAGATTGAGTTAGTGAGTTAGAAATTTCAACCATACCCACCGTATTTCTACCCCAGAACTTCAGTATCGCACCTTGTATCAACTTGTGTTGAACCTGAAAGTAAGAGATAATGGAAATATATTTAAGTCTGGCCAGACCAAAGTGATATCCGGTCGGAGATACCAACATCCGGCCGGACATCTTGACTTTTCACATAGATTCAGTAGTGTTCTACTAGCTACCCAATTCTATAGATATTTTGATCAAACCCGCTCGGGGCCTGTAAATAGCAGGGTTCAGACTGCTGTAGGGGGTTGAAAAACACATAGAATTTGGTTAGAGAGATTAGATCAATATCAAGTGAGTTAGAAATATCAAGAATGAGTTAGTGAGTTAGAAATTTCAAGAGGTAGAAAAGATCAAAGCTATCACCCTTCTTGTTCTTCCACAAGCCTTGAAGCTCTCATATCATCCATACATACCATACAAGAGCTTGAACTTGAACTTGGTTTGAGAATTGCAAATCATACTCAAACTTGAGGGTGCCTTGGAATCAAGTTTGATTGACAACAAGAACATCTTCTCTACAAGAGGTAAAGCTTTCTTGCTTTTATTTCAATCTTTGTTCATCTTTTTCTTATGTTTTCATATTATTTTTGGATTGTTTTGAGGGCTGAAACTTGTGATTCAAAGCTACCCAAAGGTGGAAGGGTTAATCCCCCTTGATTGAATCTTACTCCTCGCTTAAATCCTTGTGTTTCCCATTTGCTTTCGTCCACTTTTGCCACTGTTTTGGGGCTGATCTGAGACTGTTTTGGAGCTGTATTTCAACATCTAAACTATGTGATTTGAAGTTGTAAAAGTGGGGATGGGTTAGCCACCCTTCCTCATACTTATACTAGCTTTAATCTCTCTATGATTGTGCACCTTCTATAGTTTAATTTCAGCACTATTGTATGTTATTTGGGGGCTGTTTAATTTACTTCAATAAGTTTGTTTTACATATTATGTTTGTGTTATATTAACAAATTAATCAACCTTGCATAACCACCTCTGCAACCCTCAATTCTTCGATTATTTTGATTAAAAAGTTGTGAAAAATTAAGATTGTGGTTCAAGTATAAGAAAAAAACTTTTCTCATGCTTAATGGTTTAATCTCTTTGGAGGTTCACTATTAAAGGCATAAAAACTTTCTTATACTAAAGCACGATCATTTATTTTTCAGTTCTCTTTATCATCAGTGTGTTTACTGTTAAGGGATTAATTGACCCTTGGAAATTGCCAAGGAAAGTGTCATTATCACTCATTATCAAGTTTGGATTTCAAGTCATTATCACTCACTATGGGTTTATCTAAGTCATTATCACTCTTTGGAGTTTGACTAGTCCTTGTTGCCCATCTTGAGTTTGACTTAAAATCCCTTATCGCTTGTAAATGAGTTTGACTCTTCTTTTGTAATTTTCCCCGAAGAATTTTTCATCAGTGTGTTTACTGTTAAGGGATTAATTGACCCTTGGAAATTGCCAAGGAAAGTGTCATTATCACTCATTATCAAGTTTGGATTTAAAGTCATTATCGCTCACTATGGGTTTTTCTAAGTCATTATCACTCTTTTGAGTTTGACTAGTTCTTGCTGTGCATACTGAGTTTGACTTGAAATCCCTAACTTGTAAATAAGTTTGACTCTTCCTTTGTAATTTCCTCCGAAGAAAATAAGGTTTATTTACTCAGGTTAAGTCGACACTTATTTTCCTTTATTGCATTTTGGACTTAGTAGATGTAAATATCACTGTGGACTTAATAGATTAAAGAAAAGGGAAGGTAATATAAAAAAGGCTAATAAAATTGAGCTTAAAATGAATCAACCAACATAAAGAACCAATATGATTGATTGAATTCGTTCGGACGTTATACCGAGTTTACTGTGTCAAGGCTTGTCTTACATTAGTCCATAATATTTTGATGAATCTTGAAGCATCTCTACTTCCCTTCTTGAATTTGCTTCATGATAGGAGGGAGGGGTGGTCGTTATGTATTACATTTATTGATCTTTGTCCTATCGTGTCCAAAATCATCTTGCAAATCAACTTGCAACCATAGATGGTTTGGGAACCGAGTTCGCTCCTCTCATGAGTATTTTCCATGATAGAGAAGAGTAGAAGAGACAAATATGGCCAGGAATACCCTATCTGCATGTTTGCATTGTTTCACCTCAGGCACAAAATAAATAGATTTTCGCAAAGAAAACAAGGTATGCTTGGATTTATTTGGGGCTCGACTAGGTCTTGTTTTGGGTCAG